ATGGAGAGACAGACATCTGCTTCTGCACTGAGCAGGACCAGGGCTCAGGAAGGAACACATTCATTACAACAAGAAAAAGAAACATTTAACAAACAAAGGGCTCAACCTTGTGGTTTTTGGCACCTGGTTTTTCGCTTGTTCGATCCAAAGGTGGAACTTGAATCTATTCGTTCTGTTTAATTTTTGGGCTAAAAATAACACGTCTAACCGTAAGCAATCATAAGTGGACACTGGTTGGAACTGTCCTTGCTCCACACAAACAGACTCACCCCGTGGACACAGCTGCACTCCGTGTCCTTTTATTCACCACCCACACACTCAACAATCTGTGCCACTGTGTAACATGGGGAAGTTAAGAAAAGAAAGATTTTTAGACATATGTTATGTTTGAGCAACATGTCTTTACCATTACAACTTACAATTGGAAATATTGCCAACATTAGCTAGAACTATGCATGCACCAATAGGATACTGTTATCAGATATCGGTGCAGATAATACAGCATATTGTTGGTATTGGTTTAATGACAACAGTTAGTCAATATTCTCGTTAGGCATTTCAGTTGATACAATATAACACCAGTTGATATCGGGTATTGGCAGAATAAAAGCCATAGATTCGAGATTGTGGACATTAAAAAAATCTACATCGGCTGATCTCCGTCTCCAAATGTGCTGTGTGTAAATATTCTGCACAACATTTTGGTACTTTATATAACAACAGATTCACGAGGCAGCGTGGCATGGCTTTGAGTCGTCGCAAAAGAATTGTAGAAATCAATCTGCTGTACAGACTGTGAAGACACAGGCAAAACTCTGTCCAAACTAATATCACTGATGCTGCTAAAGTCCTACTACTACTAAAGTTTCTTTAAAGTCAGAAAATACCATACACATTATTAAGAGTGACTTTGTAATGTGTAATTAATTGCAATTTACATTTGATTTGAACTTTTCCACAATCTTTCTTTGTACTCATTAAAAGCAATGCATCAATAATGACTCAATGTATACTTTGCAACTCATTCAGAAAGAAATATGATAAATACCTGTTGATCCAACGGTACCAATGTAATGTGTAGGATGTATAATACTCATTGTATGATATGGTATTTTGTGTGCATTGTGACTTGAACCTCAATCACCTTAATACTTGTTCTGTGCCATATATTTTCTACTTAAGGTATTATTTTACATTCTAAAACATGAGATGATGGAAGCAAAAAGTCTCATTACCTTTTATAATGCCCAACCATGATACATAAGTAACAACAAGAAACAATAGATTCTTTATTGTTGATTGTGTGGTTTGCGACCAACACCTTCAGTACCTTTTTAAACATGTATTTCCTCATAATTTGTGAGTCATCTGAAGACGCACAGTGGATCTATTATTACTGTATCTCAGCCATCACCGTGCCCTGGGAAATCGTTGGTTCCTCTTTGTCTCAGGGGACAATAGACAGCAGGCGCCCTGTGTGTGATTACAATATTTCAGATTGATTTTTATCCTTGTCCGAGGCGGTTATTAGCTTCCTGTCCGATCACTGAACAGCTTCTTTTGTTGGTAAGAAGGCTTTACACCGTACGCCATCATCACTTGGCTATTGATTAAGTCCTTGATGGTCATTTTGGTGCTGTGGTGAAAGGAAAGCTGGACGGGCTCATTGTTCATTTAAAACAGAAAAACAGGCTGCTGTGTAATTCCCTGCTCTTTCCCCGAGCCCGACTTCATCGCTCTGTTGCTCTGAGAAACTATGATAAACGAAGCAGCACCAGCCTCGTGTTGCCTGAGAAGAGATGATACTGACTTAGCTATTACAGACATTGCAAACTACTTTTTGAACTTCATGAACTCACAAATCCGTTTCTTGTTGTTGTGTCCTTAGGCAAGACACTGTGGCCTGTGGTGTGTGCGTAGACCTTTACCACAGCCATGTCCAAGCTCAGGCCCAAGGGCAAAATGCAGCTCTTTGCCTTGCTCATCCAAAGTAGGATTTGGGATCACAAGTTGATAGTGTCATCCAGCCAACTTCAGCTCCACCAATGCTGTACTGGCTCCCCTGTAAAGCGCAGAACCAGTTGAATCCAGTCGTGAACTTTATTTGTAAGAATTGGATCAAAGTTTTATTATTATTATATCTTATTTTATTGACAAATTCAGAAGCAAAACAGACATAAGTGCCATGATGTAAGGTTCGGGTTTCAATGACTATTTTTGAGACGATATCTGAAGAGTACATACCACAAACATGTCAAAATCCCCTGACTCACACCCTGACCACAGTTAAGTCAATATTTAGCGGAAGAATCTGCAGAATTTGTATGAAGTTATCTGATATTCACAAATGTTGCCATAAACACATTCACTAGTTTACTGCTACTTCCTGAAACGCATCTCACCACTATGGAGGACCAAAAATGACTAAAGTATAAATAAATAAATAAATAAATGAAGAAATGTAGAAATACATAAATAAATATATGCAATAAATGGATAAATAAATAAAGGAAAAAAATGTAGATATTGATAAATAACCTAAATAAAAGTATATTTATTTGATTTCAGAGTAATATTTAACATATCAATGTAAATATTTAGTTTTTATTGTCCAAAATGAATGTATTTATTTATATATTCCTGCATTTATTTATTTATACTTTAGTCATTTTTGGTCCTCCATACACCACAAAATCAACAGAAATAGAAGAGGATATAACAGTCAACTATTCATGATATGGACAGATACAGTAGAACAGATCAAACATCTCTCCTTGTAAAAAACAGCATTAGAGCAATAAGAAAGAGCATAAATCACAGATCCTGTCAGACCCTTGAAGTTAAGCAGGGTATAACCGTTATTGTATCCTTTAGCAAGACACTTTACCCACATTTGCCCAGTCTAGTGTGTGCATGAATGATTGGAGGTAGTTGGAGGGGCCGATACTAATAATAATAATAATAATAATAATAATAATGCATTGGTTTTATATAGCACTTTTCTGGACACTCAAAGACATGTTATTATTTACTCACTCCAAACACAGTGGTGATAAACTACTAAAGCCACAGCTGCCCTGGGGCACATTAACAGAAGCGAGGCAACCAGTATGTGCCATTGGCCCCTCCGAGCACCACCAACCATTCACACACACACCAGACTCATTCTAGGCAATGGGGGTGAAGTGTCTTGCCTAAAGACACAACGGCAGTTTGCCACTTTACAGCTGCAGCCGCCCCACTGTGGCACCTGGTGTTCCCAGAGGTCTCCCATCACAGTACTAACCAGGCCCTGACTTGCACAGTTTCCAAGGTCTGATGGGATCTTTCACATCAAGTTTGGCCACAATCGCACAGACTGATTGCCTCGCTTCGGTCAGGCTTCCCCAGGGCAGCTGTGGCTAGAGAAATAGCTCATCACCGCCGTGAATGAATAATGCCATGTGAAATGTGTTTGAGCGTCTAAAAGCACATTGTAAAATTGAGGCATAATGATAATTATTATTATCATCAAATCTATCATTTTTAACAGTGCGTAAAATGTCATACAGTTCATGCAAGTGGATTAAATGTTCTATATCACTGTAATTCTATATAGTCTATGGGGCCCTTTCAGTAGTGAGGGCAAATATGTTACATCTTTGCAGTATCTGATGGTTTTGTTTGACCTGCTTGGGGCATATGTTTGAAAGAATGTCCTAAAACAAACATTGACAGATTGTGTTAGGGCGAAAATGATCTGCCAAAGTATGCATTTAAAAAGAAGCAAGTAAGCAGACTGCACTTGTGACACAGCTGTCCAAACTTCTCTCACTAAAAGGTTAAACTCTCTTAACTTGACATGTTGACTTTATTCAGTGTGAAGCTGCGTGAACTCGGGAAAGAGAAGTTGAAAGGCGATAGAAATGTGCAGGAGTAGCTCTTTATCTAGAATATGGAGGAACAACAATAGAAGTATGCAAATTGGTACACCTTCCAAAACAGCTTAAATAACAATCAAATAAATACATATATAGACATAGACATAAACATAATCTTAATCGAAGTTAGAAAACACAGGACTGAAAAGGTGCAAACAAGGAATGACTACATTGTGAAAGAGTGTGTGGGCGTTCTGAAATATTTTTGAAAAGTAGTTTGTTGACAGACGATTCTTTCTGGTCACTCCTCGCGGACATATTTCTTCAACAGTTTCAATTATGTTGAATTATGTACATTCTCTCTGAGGAGCGCAGGGACGGGACTCCTATAGTGCCCAGAGTCAGAAATAAACATGGGGAGGCTGCATTTCAGATTCATGAAGCTAAAATCTTCTCGAAAATGTGAGACAGGCCTCTTCTGTGGCAAATCCAGGTTAAAAACAGTTCTGTTTCGCTATGCATACAACTGAATTATTCTATTATTATTCTTTTTTAATCTTTTTTAATGTGCTGTGATTCTATCCATCCATCCATCTTCTTCCTCTTAATCAGTTTCTGAGTTGGGGGGGTGGCAGTCAGAGCTGCACCCAGTTCACAGAGCACCAGCCCCTCACTGATCCTCCTGCAAGTGGTGAGTCCACAGGAGCTGAGATCTTTCAGCAGGGGCTTCAGGCAAAGTGGGGTTTAGTGTCTTGCCCAAGGACACAACGACAGCAGTCATCAGTGGGAGTCATGAAGTAGGTCATGTGGTGGGCTCAAACCCACAACCTTCAGGCTCAAAGGCCAATCCTCTACCATCTGAGCCACTGTCGATTATTATTGATTATTTTAATGCCTTGTGTGATTCTTTCCATCATGTTTTGTTCAGCACTTTGAGTTGCCTTGTGTATGAATTGTACCATATAAACTTGCCTTGCCTTCTTGAGATTGCCTGGAAATAATTGAATAGTACCTTTCATGTGCAATTGAAAACAACAACTTGAACCTAAATGCACACTTTATGGAAAGGCCTATAATTTCTCACTCGTGTCTGTTTGATTCTATTGCTCACATTACGTCACTGCTTCTTTGCCTCTTTCCATGCCTTTCACAGATGAGATCACAGCAGTCCCCACTCCAGCTGTTTTGGACATCTGGGAGAAATTCTCTGCTTTTGGCCAGCGGTGAAACCAGGCCAAAGCATCTGCACCACATCAGCCTCTCGCACTACGCCTGTGCGAGGACGTAAATCTCACTTAATTACGTTTGAATTCATGCAGAGAAACTTGTGCAAGTGTGGATTCAGTTGGCTTCAATGAACCTCTATGTAACTCGCTTTAGGGGGTTTCTAATGTAAAGACAGCCTGCTTTGAGCCAGTGCTGAACTCGGTGTCCCTCTAGTGGCCATTCACATACATTACAGTGTTGTAATGCTGAATACTGAATAGTAGGTTGCCAATGGTCGTAGGTGTAAACTAGTAAATAGACAAAATATAGAAATCCTACCCTTTCTTTAAATATGTAAAAGTACATGATTGTGTATTTACTTCAATAAAAAAGGCAAAATTGACAATATATCTATTTGCGACATTTTAAACACATACACAGCATCATACTCTTGGACTGGTAGATAATATGACAATAAAAACACTATAACTTAGCAGAATGGTTAGCTGAATTTAGAAACATTGGCTAAACACTTAAAATGTTGTAAATCTATGTTGTTATTTTAAAATGTAAGGAGAAGAAAGTGCAGATATTTGGGTTCAAAAGTAGGGAATGTAAGAAAAGTAAGTATTACGGATACAAAAATATTATATCTAGATGTGACATGCCTTGACTGGTCAAGGGGCCACCACACAGCAGCTCCATCTGCTACATTTGGAGACTAAATCTAAAAGTTCGAATGACAACAGAAGGCAAGTCTATAATCCTAAGTAAAGTAATCATTGCAGCAAAACCTGTGTCTCATTAACATAACCTTGTAAAGCCTTTCAAATATTCAATCACAACATATTCTTGTTTTTTAATCAGCGTTTATTAAGCGTCAGTTATTGTTATTGTTATTATTATTGTACATCTTTTTCTATCATTTTTGGCATCTTTCAACTCTTCAGCACTTTCACCAAATCCAACAAATGTATTATCTGACCAGCTTTGCCCTCTCACGGTTATTTTTACTTTTAACTCCTTTAACAGTTCATAATACTTTAAACACTTTGCAGTCACTCATTGTACAGTTTCTAGTTATCTGGGTTCTTATCTGTTATTAAAGTTATATATCTCTATTAGCATAACATTATTCTGACATTATACAGGCACAGCAGAAAGCCTAGCCTACAGCGCTTTATTAGAAAGGTCTAGCCCACAAACATTCCCTCGTCAAGCAAGCCTGAGGTCATTCACGCACAAGTGGAACTGAAAAGGTGACACAAATATCCACCTTTGTAAAAGAAAAGTTCCTCTGGGCTTTTCCACGCGCAAAATGGGGAAATTGTCAGACAGACAGTTATAACAACACTTGAATGACTGCCATGACATTAGATCTACACTGCTTTTGTCGAGGTAAGATCAGAGCCAGATCAGATTACTATTTTAAGAGGCTGAATGAGCTATTATTTTAATCCACTGCTTCAATTGTGATTTGTTTATAGGCTCTTATGGCTAATATTCTTATGTAATTTATAATTTAATTAAGTCATTTCACTACATATTATTGACAATATTGTTAACATTGAATGTGAAAAATAAATAAATATCTATCTATCCAAATGTACAGTGTCTGCCCAAACTTGTCAGTTAGACTATGCTTTATTGCCTCAGATGAAGTTGCCTGTTCTCCTCTTGTGGGCATTTCTTCACATCACCATTCAGAATCCTATAAACTACTGGACCCTGAAACACAATGGTTTGTCTCTTTGGCATTTGAAATTTTAATAGATTTCCTTGTTTGAAAATGATCTTTCTTTGTCCAGTTTTAGTTTTGGAGGTGACAGGAGAACACAAGGGCCATTACCCACTGACCTGTTTGACTGAGGATGCTGCGAGTTCTTTGGCCGTTTTGTGCAGAGAAGATAAGGACAGTGGTATCATTTGGAAGAAGAATGGGAATAATCTAGCCCATGGAAACATACACTGTGTTGCACTACAAGAAAGTTCTGGAGAAGGGAATTATAGCTGCCACGATAAAGATGGATCACTCCTCAATCACACTCAAGTCCTGATTCTTGAGGCCAATAAGAAGAGGATCCTCCAGACAGGTGCAAAACGTGTTACACATATTTATTATTATAGTCAAACATCAATCTAAGAAAAGATTTCAGAAACTAATACTGAATGGAATCTTCAGATTCTTTCAAGTGCTCTACTCCAAACTACAATGGAACATTTCACTGCTCCTGGAGCTGGCATCCCATTCGTGTTGGAAAAGTGGCTTTGATCAAAGTATGGCGGTGAGTTACATGGGAAGAATACTATTACTATACCATTACTGTATTATTACTACAATTTAGTAACAGAACACTGAATACCTAAAGTATGTTTTGTAACACATATTGATACATTGTCCAATCAGATAACTGTATTCTGAATACAGTGACATCGTAATATTGAGTAAAAATTTGACCTACCGTGTTTGTATCATGTGTTCTATGTTTTACTGTTTTTAATTAGTTCATTATAAATGGGTCAAACATCCACATACACTCAAATATTGTACCATAAAGTTACCACACTTTCTCAAAGCAGATACATGACATGCCAAAAAGTACAACTTCTGAGAAACGCTGTATGGATATAAACAGATAGATGTATGTGTATAGTCTGACACATATTGTAGTAAACCGTGTCCTCTCTTTCACAGTCCGTCTAACAGCAGCGACCTGCATTGCACCGAGGACTCGAGTGGACACTGGTCATGTCGCACCAGTCGCAGTGACTTCAGCTGCTCAGTGGACCTCAGTGGACACGGCTTCTCCTGCACAGACCACCAGCACTGCCCCTTTGCCGAAGAGGCCCACTTCATCCACATCACCCTCTACGTGGTCTACGACTTCCACATAGAAAACTACTCAAAGAACTTTTATCTTTCAGAGATCGGTGAGACACATTTCACAGACGCATATAATTTTAATTGATTTGATTAATTCCTTAATAACGATTGTATTTTGTATTTGTGTTTTCTAGTAAAACCGGACAAAGTGCACATTCGTAAAGTCAAAGACAATACCGTTGAGTGGATCTATCCAAGCACATGGGACAACCCTTACTCATACTTTCCCCTCACTTTTCAACTTGCTCAGCTCAAAGACAAAACTGCTTGTGGCGATATCAAAACTCGCAAGGTAAGACTGGTAAATGGACTAGGTCGTATTTAGGGAAAAGTGTGGATTTAGGCTTTTATAGAAAGAAAAATAGTGGTCAAAAATAATAGTGTGAGATAGAAATTAAATCTGGGATACCTAGCTTTTATTCTTAAATAATACCTCTTCCCAATGTACCAAAAGTGAAAAAGCATAGTGAAATATTGTTAACAAACCAGACCATAGCATGCTGTATTCATCTTCTCAGAATAAATTATATCTATTAAGAAGGAAGTCACTATTTGGCGCTTTGGGCTGAGATATTGATATTTCATTGCGCAGTTATTTATGGGGAGAGTTTGAAAGTTACCGTAGCTTCTCCAACTTTAACAATAATTTGCTACTTTCTACCTCTTGTATTCATTAACCCTGAGATAAATTGTCGCTTGTATATAATTTTCATGTATACATAACTTTTACATAACTTACATGTACACAGTGTTGGTAATGTGGGCGAAGTGTTTTGCCTAAGGACACTATGACAACATATTGTTTCGTTTTCAGATTCTAACAGTGAACTGCACGAATGACTGTTCATGCAAAATTAAAAGAAGAACAAAGACGGTTTGTTTTCGAGCTAAGGACGCACTTTCTAACTCGGAGTGGAGCGAGTGGAGCTCAGAAATGTCAGTCCTGATCACTAAACTATAAAATTTATTATGCGCCTGTTGTGCTATGAAACTGTGATTAATGTTGACTTTATTTTTTGTACATTTCACACAGAATAAAGCCAAAAAAGAAGAGGAATAGAAGAAGAATAAGCCTTATCTAAAGAATTGGCTGTCTATTGTGTTTGGTGATATTTATATTACAGTAATGTATTCACAACCTGTATTTATTCTATTTAAAGCATATTTAATACATGTTTGATATTGTTAAATGACTATGAACTGACAAATAAAAAAACACAAACTTGCTGTTATGTAGTTTCTATTCGTTGCACCCCATGAGTGCCTTTGGAGCGTGATAAACAAGAAATGACGAAATAGAAGTGAAACTTAGTTGGCTTGTGAGTATGACAAAGGCTTTTGAGTATGACAAAGGCAATGTGTGGCACTGCGAGGATTTGGTCGAGACGGCAACTTAGCGGTGAAACAACAAGTCAGCTTGTTTGGTATTTTTACAGCCACAAAAAACGCATTTTTGCCTCAAGTGAATCCGAATTAGTTCCGCTAAAATGAAACAAACCAGTTGAGTGTGACTGTCCCCAATAAAAGCATACACACTGGCTCGATATACATAATGATTACTATAAAAATGTGTGGGTTATTCAGTACATCGAACAGGGACTGATGAGGCTGTGGAAAAAAAAAGTATAATTTGCTTGTTATCTTCCTCTTAATTTCAAGTCAGGTGGGGCAATTGTCTGTTCAGGAAGATACAGCAAAAACCCTTTATATAACTTCTCCATTTTAAATATCCAAGAAGTCCCAAACAGGGGCTTTTATAGATATATATCTGTTAGTTATAAAGCTTGAGGTAAAGCATCCCTTATTAAAAGAAGAAGTGGTGAAGTGCGAGAAGCATTGTGACATTTACACATTTAAAGCATTTAAAGAATGACACTGATGTGGAAATGAATCGTCTATCACACGCCCATGTTGTGGTGTGTTGTAAAACCAGAACTGCTGAATACATCATAAACAGTGTAGTACAGTCTCAGACTAATCATCAACTTGTCCTTTGACCTTATCAGTAGGCTTTGTACGTGGGAGAGGGCAGGAGTCAGACATCTCATTATGTTTTCAGTTTTAAAGAGGAGCTAGGGACGGGCCTCCTGCTGGGACTGGCCTCGCTGATCTCAGTCAGGACTAAACAGGGGGGCAGCCTACAGGGGTCTATACTGTAACAATATTCAAGTTGAGGTTAAAACAGTTAAGGAATATTGTATAATGTTTTTGTCTTTTTCTTTTTTTAAATCTGAGTTCCATGTTGGTTAGCAAAGCACTTTGGGTTGTCATGAGAATAAGTTATTATTTGAAGATTTGTGAAAATAAAACTTTTAAAATGTGTAACCTAAAATGTTGAAGAGAAGAAAATACAGACATATTTGCACAAGAAAGTTTACACACCCAGACAGAAATCCTCCATTTCTGTCTTGGTGTGTTTTGGCTATATTCTGAAGATTATGAATGATAACACAATTTTCACATATTGCCAGTGGTTTTGTGGAGCCATATATCGTCAAATAACATGCATCTGTGTGCAGTTCATTCAAGGCAATCCAGGAATTTACAGAAACTGGAGGCTTGTTGCCAAAACAATGAGCAGCTTTACCCTCAGACAGGATAGAACCTCATTCACAACTACCACAAAAGACTCCAAGTTGTCAGAAATGTTAAAGGGGAAATATACCTCTGAGGGATGGAGGCTTAAACGGATCATTTGAGCATGTTTCTGTTGTCATTATAAAAGTGTGTATAATACATATTTGTCTCCAGGCTCGAGGTGTACAGGGTCACAATATAGTAGGCATTTTCTGATGCAAATGTTCATATTATCAATAATAATACATAAATACAATAAAACATGATGGTCCACTGTTTATGGAGTTGGTGTTTGCATGTGTGTGTATTGTGTAGCGGTTGGAACAGTGCATATTAATGAACACACCTCTCCGGCTTGCAGCCTTGGGCTCATTTGCATTTGTTGTCCCACAGATGCACTCACAAACACGCACTCATTCACCCTGAATATCATACTTTCTATTGTTTCTATACTTGTATTCTAGAAAAATGGCCTGTGTATAAACACACTAATCAATGTTTATCACAAAATCGGGCATGTTAACTGGGCATGTTAAAATTCAAAGTTTTCACAGAGACATAAAAAAATCCCATATCAGTAAAATATTCAATACATTTACATAAAAACAAACACAACTAGAATAACAGTGCAGTGAATGAAAGATTGTCAGTGTGTGATATATATAAATATATATATATAAATATATATATATGAAGGGTCCAGTGTTTCCCAAAGTGGGGTGCAGGGCCTGCAGTGGGCAATTGAGAATTTGAGAACAATTTAAGATACTCTTTATTGATTTCACAATGGATACATTTACAGAATCAAACATAACAAATATTTGGGTAATATAAATACCTCATTTTACAAATCAAATAATTATTAATATACATGCTTACTGACATATTTCAAAATAAAGGGGATTGTTTTGATCGATCAACAGGCCTCGATGCTGATGATTTTCAACACAAAATATAATCAGAGACATGTTTTTTAACGTAGTTTTAAACATGACCACATGACCTTGTCCCACCTCCACGTTGAATATGTTAATGAAGACGCTGGGAACCATCAGCAGAACAGATGGCGCGTATCTCCACCACGCAGCCACATAAACATGCATTGCAATATTACTTTACGCACGCTAGATGGCAGTATCGCTCCAAATTCACACTGGCCTCAGCAGGTAACGCGCTTCCATCCTGGCTCGTAGGAGGAAAAGTTATCCTGCACAAATAATAATGTCGTTTTTTTTTCCCAGAACAAGTTTTAAATTACCAACATCATTTATGATTTGAGTGCATGCAAAATGTGCGTAATAATGAATCACCGATAATCAAACGCTATAGCCTCCATGCCTGTCTTTTTTAAGTTATATCTCACAGTTTATTACATTCAGTGCACTATGTTTTAAAAAGCATTTATAGCCACCCTCTCTCATGTCAACAAGGGAGCAGATTGGCAGACATAAGGCCCATTCAGCGCAGCACATGTCTTTCCTTTTTGCAGCTATAGTCATTTTTTACGAGTCCTCAGTTCAATCAGGTTATTATTATCATCGGCCCCACCTTGTTGATTTACGCCTACATCTGGTGGATGGAGACTGTAGAGGGTGAGCCTTGTTCTGATCACTTAACTTCAAAATATCGATCGAGTTAATACAGACATACAGACGGGTTTAATGGCGCGCACATGTGGGGATTTGAACTGAATGAGAAACCGCGCTGATTACGCTCATATATCCGTGCGTAATATAGACTTATAAATCATATTATTAACAAGGTCGGATCAGCGGGGCCCAAACTTTAGAGTGTCTGTGCTGATCCTGAAGCATAAATAGGCCTACATTTCTCCCCATGGGGTTTCCGCACTGTCCGCTGGCCCCTCACATACCACAGAGGACAGACGCCTCAACCAACTATCAAAGTAAAGTGCTGAAGGACCGCTTTGGACGCGTGCGTGAGAAAAAAAAGATAGTTCGCGTGTCAAATTTTGATATATCACTATTTATTCTATCTTGTATAGTCACTTGTTGGCTCGATTATATTTCACCTTCCACAGCAGCAGTCATACACATATAATGATGAGACGAGTCTAACCCTGCAGAATTGGTGTAAGGCTGCACAACTTTAATTTGATATTATATAATCTACATTCTCTGAAACTATATGTCAGATTTAGTCAATAATGGGAAGAAATACATTACACTGACTAATTGACATTCCTCGATGTTGCAGCATGTAAATAGCTGCTGGTGTTTAATTGAACGGGTCAAAGAGCCAGTCCAAATTGTGTGGAATATTGTTGATAAAAATCTCCATTTCAAATCTATGTGTGATAAGAAAACCCCATCCCGTTTCGTTGTAATTAACCAAACAGGGCTTTACTGAACAGATGGCCCCTGTACAATTCAATTTGATTTAGAAACGGCTCCGTAATGATGGAGAATGAGTGTGGAGCTTCTGCAGACATAATGGACATATCCCGCGCTCACGTTGAAGTAGACGCGCACTTTCACGCTTCCCTGAGCTTCACTCGAATTTGTTTGTAGTTTTTTTTTTTTTTTTTTTTTTTTTGCCTTTTCGTACATTCATCAGTGCGTTTTGTTTAACGTGGAGAATTATTTGGGCATTGGGACAGCGCAGTTTAACCATAATCCTCATATTTAGCCTAAATTGGATTCAGCGCAGTTTCCCACAAGATTTCTGTAATGCATCCAATCACAGCTCAATCGCGGAATCTGGAAGCTGTCGCTAAAAGTGTGGCTGAAGAGATGCCAATGTGCATTTATAATTGAATTTCTGCATTTATAATTTACCAACAATTGTTTAGTATTTGAAACTTGCTTTTAACTTGACTTTGTATAAGTGCGTTCAATGTGATGCGGACAAGACATGCAGAAACAAACTCATCACTTCTAAAATGCCATTACTAATTCATAATAACAATTTAGATTTGAAACGCGACGCAGGGGGGACACGCAAGCGGAAAGCTCAGAGATTTTCAAAGAGGCAGACTTTTAAACTTGGTCATCAATAATTAAACAACTTCACCTCTTTACTTTCCTCATGAGAACTATTAGGTAAAAATGCTCTTATATCTTAGATGTATTAAAACGATTTTCCATTGGTAATTGGGAGGAGACATAAATTAATAATGAGGTGTCACCTGAATCTATTACATATTTATTAACTATGCTGTTTTATGGAGTTGTGCATCTGAACTTGACAAATCATAATAATTCTGGACATTTAATTGCTAACATAAAAAGAGCACTTCATTAGATGACGTCAAAACCGGTATAAATTCTCTCATAGAATATATTGAATAAAGGAATTTTGGTTTGCACATTTTCCCAAGCCAAATAATAACTTTTTATAAATGCTTGCATATAGACAGCAGCTGCGGTCTCCTTCTCGATTCTCATGGTCTTCTCGGAAAGGCAAAGCGCACTAAATAACGTCCAGCTCTGAATGGATGTTTCGCAGAAGGCAATAAAGTGATGAGCGTGTTAATTGTGGACAGCGAACATATGTAAGATAGGTCCGGGGTGGGACGGGCTGATCGTGCGTGTGAGCGTGGGACGAGGCGGGGACAGCAGCAGCAAAGGCGGCTCTGCTTTAGTGGGCAGCCGATTGTCCGCCTTATTAACCGTGTGTTTGTGAGAGAGGCGTTCCCATTTGACCGCGCACGCCACGCCTCCCTCACCTACTAGTTCCTCCGCTGTTTGGCATCCCAGAGATGGTCCAAAGTGATTCCTCAAGGGGGAAGGAGGTTGTTTGGAAGCCCCGTAATGTGATTGCGCGATTCATTCACAAGAGTTTTTAGAAGCGGCGCAAAAGAGCAGCGTGTTTTATCCTCACGGTGGACTGTTTGTTCGCGTTTTTGTCATCTTGATCCAGAGGACTTCGCGCATCCTCTCATCTTGCTCTCATCAGCTTCAGATCTTCCGCCCTTTGCTGCTTTTCTGTCTCGTTCTTCTCCTGGAGCAGCTGACATGAAGAGCAGCTAACCCTGGATGCCGACGGCTCCTTCCACGTGTCGCGTCCTTTTTTGTTTACTTTGAGCAACACACAACACACAGGCGCGCTGCACAACAACTTAAAGTGAAATAGACCCCAGCACTTTGCTCCTGTGACAGCGCGATCAAACAGAGGAAGGGGAAGGAGGCAGTGAACGAGCAAAGGAAAGGAGGAGAGAGAGTGAGAGACTGTGCGAAGCTGCGTTTTGATGTTTGGCATCCACGACAGCATCCAGAGGAGTGGGAGTAGTATGAAAGAAGAGCCCATGGTGGCCGGGATGAACGCGGTTCGAACATGGATGCAGGGCGCCGGAGTGCTGGACGCCAACACAGCCGCCCAGAGGTGAGCCCGAGGCGGCCCCGACACAGCACCGCTCCGAGGGGCTGTGCGTAAAGAGAAGTCGCATGTGTTTCTCACCAGCGGAGTTTATGGAGAATTCCCTCTGGCTTTGGCCAAATGTGTCTCTGAACCAGAGCACATGTGGGCTAATGCCGTGGGATCCCACACGGCACTTTATTCAATAGCTTCGGTCCACGATAGCAATTCTGCATTTCAATCAAGAAAATTCAGCATTTTGTGAATGAAAGTTGGAAATTAGAAAACGTGTAGCAGAACACTTGGGAGAATGATCTATCTTATAAGAGAAGAATCAAAGTTTAAACTTAAGTTACTAAACTGAAAAGTTGGAAACCCCAACTTCAAATTCTATTGCAATTATTATGTTTTCTATAAAGTGCCTGCAGGGAAAGATCTTATGATTGATAGTTCGTCTATTTATATAGTTCATGTTTTGCTTTTATTTGTATTGTGTTTTTACTACTTTTAATCGTTTCATTACTATTCATTATTAGCCCACATCTGCAGACATTGGCCTTTGCGCACATTGTTTCTCTGTGAGCCCGTGACTGACCCCGGGCCCCGGTGCCTTGTGTCCGCAGCGGCGTGGGTCTGGCGCGGGCACACTTCGAGAAGCAGCCGCCCTCCAACCTGCGCAAGTCCAACTTCTTCCACTTCGTGCTGGCGCTGTACGACAGACAGGGCCAGCCCGTGGAGATCGAGAGGACGACGTTTGTGGACTTTGTTGAGAAAGAAAAGGTGGGTGAGAGGCAAAACTTGAGTTGACAGTTTTAACACGGCCTGTTAAATCTCCTGATGAATTATCCAGACGCACAGCGGGGACCACACTTCTGCTCAGATCCTCTCCGTAGCCTTTACTTATAATTGCTCCATATATTTGTCTTTTCCACGGTGTTCAGATGCCAGGTAAAGTTTTCCACCTAACATCTGCTCCTCGCTACATTTGACTTTATTGTAATGACAATTTGCTCAGCGTGATGCCGCGTCCTGCTGCTCTGCTTGTGTCAGACATCTGATTTTTAAATCAAACATCAATATCATTTTTTTGAAATGCAATATGTATCAACACGTTTAACTGCGGCTAAATATGTGTTTTATTTATGCCCTTACTGAGCTTATTAATATTAGAAAACCTGATGTCCTTCTACAGGCGTAGGCGGCGCGGTGATTTATTAATAATACATAATATAGGCCTTGTGGCTTTTATTAAAACAACAATATGCAAATAGAAATACTGCTTAATTTAAAGCTATTTTAATTAAATAATGACCGTGGGCCTGTTTTAAACGCGATTCAAAAATATAATAAAGTCGGTTGCATTAAATTAGTTACTTGGAATCAGCGTCATGTAAGTCAAAAGAAAACAGTGATTTTGGATGTACAGCCAACGTTAAACGCGACGTTAAATGTGGGCAGCGTTTTCCATGTGAGACCCTTTATGACACTTGCATAGGGCCAGGCCCATGAGACTAAGTTTAAAAGTTTAATTGGACTTTTTCACGTTTTCTGACACTGCCAGCACAGCCTATACCTCCAAACATAATTTATACAAGTTACACTGCGCCCTTTCTTTTCTTTTTACAACCAGCAAAACGAGCTCTGACTTGATTTATTTACAGTGAAAGAGCATGTAGTGTGTCGGGAGCAGAGCGGGGCAGCTTTACTGCACTGGGGCTCGCACTCACAGAGTTGATGATCGTGCGTGTGTGTTTGAGCCTGCACTAAAAGCAGTGTTTGGTTTAATTTTCATAGGAAACGACAGGGGAAAAGACCAACAATGGGATCCATTATAGACTGCAGCTCCTCTACAGTAACGGTGAGTCGGGCTTTCATAATCTTTTATGAAGCAGTAACAAAGCACTGAGTGAATGATCCGCCTAAACAAAGTAAGGAAACTCTGGAAATGTGGTGAGACGAGGCTCCAGTTCACAAGCAGGGAGAGAACATGTAACATATATGTGTGGAATAATAAGCATATTTTATGTGTTTGTATGTATAATTATATTGTTATTATTATAATTTTCATTATTGTTATTATTCAAAATAATACACAATATAATACAATTATTGTAATAATAACAATATTTTTGAAACATGTATATTCAAAAATATTAATAAGTCACTTATTTGTTTTAAATACATTTAAAGTATTATCAATATATTACATTTATTTACCGTCTCTGAAGATTGGAATAATCATTGATTGAATGTAATAGAATGACATGAAATTGCTGGCATTGTTTGTTGTTTATTCGAGATCCCTCATGGCAGCTGCATGTGTCGTCTCTTCCATTTAACATTTCACGTTTTTGAATGTTGTAATTCTTTGAAAGCATTCATGTAATTGAATAATTAGTGATAGAGCCTTATGTGGCTGTGTCAGTGCCAGCAGGAAGTGTGTGATTGAAAAACATGTGGTGTGTATAACATTGTGCCTCTGCCTCAGGGATCAGGACGGAGCAGGATTTGTACGTGCGTCTCATTGACTCCATGACTAAACAGGTGAGAGCGTCGCTTTGACTACATGCTCTGACCATTACACTGTTGGTTTGTTTGGCTTTTGTGCTGGCCTACCCCCCCTCGGCATGCCTCTGTCTCAGACCCTCAACTTCAGCACTACACAGGGCAGTGATAAACGAGCTGTCGTACCTGTGGAATACATTTACAGAGGCCCAGAAAAGTAGAGGACATGTGTCCCCGTCTGCCTGTGCACTGAGCTGTTCTCTGTTTGCTGTGAGGCTGGTTTGTGTATGAGAAAGACAGTGATGCATGCCAGCTCACTCTTTCAGGACCTTGACCCTCATTTCCTCAATGTGAAACAGAACAAACTATCCCAGAGTGTGTTATGGCCAATTCAATCAAACAAATACACAGAACAGCGCATGTGGACCCACGGACACAAACGGATTCTCCATTAGAATGAATTAGAAAATATGGCTCTTTATGCTGTTTTGATTTCCGGTCTTTTGTTGTGCCAATTGTGCCGCTAGTGTCATTGGGCTGGAGAAGAGTTTGCTTCGAATGAAAGTAGGAGGGCACGAGTTAGTGAATGTGTCTGTGTGTTTGCGTGGGGTGATCACAGCCCTGGAGAGCATGTTGAGTGGGGTTGGAGGGGTAACCAGACTAGATTTTTGGACGCAGCGCTGTAGGGACCAGATGGTGCACTATACTCAGTCTGGCAGTCCAACTGCTCACTGTACTCCGAATATCAACATACATGCGCACAAACACAGGCACACAACATGTTTTCAACTGTCTCAGAACGCAGAGTTCCCACTCACAAACTGATTCCCACGATACACCCTTTTGCCAGAACAGTGCTCAACTCCAGATTAAAAACACACTCCTGTTTTATCCACCCTCTATCGCTGCAAACACTTAAAAAGTGTGTTTTTATCTCCTCAGGCAATTGTGTATGAAGGCCAAGATAAAAACCCAGAGATGTGCCGCGTCCTGCTGACCCATGAGATCATGTGCAGGTAAGAGAGCGCACCGCAACCAGAGCTGTCACGTTTGAAGTGGCCATTACTCCACAGTGCAGATGAAGATAAATGTTTCTGCACTTTGGGGTGTCTCTGTTGGTGTGAACAGGGGGAAGACACAGGGAGCTCTGCTAAATTACAATAGGAATCTTATAATTTCCTTCAAAGTGGGTTGGGGAGATGGGCCCTGGCCTATTTCTGTTAGTATGCGTGTGTCTATGTGTAAATTCGTGTGAAAGTCTGTGTGTGCATCTCTCTCATGTTCAGCTAATTAGGACAAGGAAAAGCTCATTACTCAAAGCCATCCTCCTTAGTCTGTGTAATACATGCAGTTTGCAGTGTCCTGACAGTGAGCTATGTGCAAGGGGAGACCTACTCAAATTACACATAAAATACAGATGCACTCAAATGTACTAAAGCAAACCAAGCCCTTCGCGATTTCAGTCAATAAAAGCATCAACGCAGCATCCCTCAAACGGCAGTCATGTAGGAACACGAGGAAGAGCGTTTACACAAATGGCTAGTGGCAAAGCCTAGTCACTTCCTGGTTTATCACACAAGGCAATTTAGATCACTTGTTTTTTATATGCTGCAGGAAACAGTTGAGATCAGAAACCTGATCTGGCTCTCCAAGCCTTCTGTCCTGAGGGACAGAGGAAAGCAGGGGGAGGGTCACTCTCCCCTCCTCTCCTCTGTATCTCGCTCCTCAGTACAGTAGTGCGCTCGACTCAGGCGCAGGTACAACAGCGCACTAACTCAGAGGAGCAGAAAAGAACCGAAGGCACAACGACATGTTTGGGTAAACAGGAGGGGTGTACAACACAACACAATGTAACGTGCTGCAGTCAAATGATTCTGAAAAGACTCGTCACATCAGTATGCAACCCCCTTCTACCCAGAATGCACTACTCCCCAGGTCCAGTGGGACCACTCTGTGACCCACTTCTGAGCGAGAAAGAGCTGGAGAGAGGCGGGATAGAGGGAGGGGACGAGCACACAGGAAAATAGAGAACATAAGATGTCTGGTGTGTGATGTCTGACAGAAATGGAGCTAACCTGAGCCCTCGAGGCTAATTCAAGTTTGTGTTCAAGCTCACAGCTTTAACTGCTTGCCAAAACTTTTCCCAAAATCGCCCCGTGATCTTTGCTACAGCAGTGAGCCTGCCCTGAATCCACTCTGTGCTGTTCTTAAACCTCACAAAAGTCTCACGCTCTTTTGCTCCCAGATCTCTGCTGTTTGCTCACCTGAAGTCCAATACTCCTGCTGTGTACTTCACTTGTTCTGTGATCTCTAACTCTGTCTCTTCTCTGTCTCTGCAGTCGATGCTGTGATAAGAAAAGCTGCGGAAACAGGAACGAGACTCCATCTGACCCTGTCATCATCGACAGGTAAGAAAACCTTTGTCCCCTGATCACATGATGCCCAGCTGTCAGCGTTAAGCACCAATATTACACACAATGGCTGTTTTCGATATGTTATTTGCAGCCTGTTCTTTGGAATGAGCATGGAAAGAGCAAAGCCTAAAAACATTTGTACTGCCAATTAAAAGCCACACTGTTTGAACTCCACAAACCATAATCCTTTGCAAACTTCTGTTGAATCATTAGTGGATATTGTTTCACCAGTTTGAAGACGCTGACTCTGGCCGAGTGTGGTCGCGGAGCTGTCAGTGTGGTTGGCCTGATGACTTAGCTGATGAGTAGTTCGGGTCACCGCCACAGCCCAGTGAATAAATCTCACTTGTATGAACTTATGTGCAGTTTTGCCCCCCTCGGTGACATTTTCAGTACTTTCTTTGAGCTCCCCTGTCATAAAGTACCGCTGACTGATGCAGAGGCCTAGCGAGATTTACACTGAGTCAAATAAAATGAAAGGCCTGCAGATTTATGGCAGAGTGTGGGGAACATGTGCTGTGAGTATTTGTTTAGACTTGTGCAGATGCAGGACCTGTATGGCTTTTCCTCTATAGAATCACCCCCCATTTAAAGCTGAGGTACCGAACAAAAAGTGTCTTGTGAAAGTAAAACGTAAACAAATCAGAAAAGCTTCGTCTTCATCTTATGAGAACACAGGTCACTATTTGATGATAAATTCGGCAGAGAGCTGATTGGCTGAGTGAAGATGGTCTCTCTTTTTTTTCTGGAAAAGTACATGCATGTGAAAACTAGTGATAAAACCAAACTTTTTTTTACAGATTGTTTGTGATTTTAAAGTTAGGTACCAAAGCTTTAACTGATTCATTATATTACAGGTTTTGCACCAAAGGAAGCCGCCCATGTTGATTTACTGTACTACGATTAGTTGAATTGCGCTGAATGTTTTTTGAATCAACTTTAGTCCATATTTTGTTTTAAATATGAATAAGTTTATCTATCGTCTTCATCTGATCGTGTGTCAGATTTTGTGCCCGCTAACTGTTTTCCAAGCCGTCTCTTGTATAACGTGACCATTTCCCAGGCCGTCTAGCACCTCCTTTTCAAACCATAATAGACCATAATAGTCTGCATTGCTCTTGCTTCTTGCGTTCAGATTTGGCTGTCGGTTGAGTGTATTTATGTGAGCGCTAATGAGGCAGTGACCTGTGATATCTGATGAACACAGCTGTCCTGCTCGCACTGCTGCTCTGTCAAAAAGTGACTTTTTTTATACCTGAATATATATGTGTGAGTGTGTATGAGTGTATGAAAGTGTGTGTGCCACCCCGGTTACGCTCCAGTGAAGCGGAAGGCCTCACCTCAGCGCTCCTGGAGACAGCTGCACCCGACCACGTGGCCTTTAGACAACATGCCTGCCCATCACTCTCTGCATGGGCCACTTTTCACTTCCTCCTCCTCTTCCTCTTCTTGCTCTTGTAGACTTGTTGAGTTTCAGCCGTGCACACTTTTACATCCCTCTGTGTCTGGTTTTACCTTGGCTCTCGCAACCAATTTACAACCAGTAGTAGTAGTGGTAGTAGTCAAGATGTACTAGTCGTATGTACTCATGTAAAAGTATAAGAACATTTTGCAATCATTCACAAACGAATATAACAAAACATGAAACCGAATGCGGTCGAATGGTCTGAACTTAGAAGCATGGCTATCCACAATGAATTTATTCCCTTGACTAACCACTTCACAGCTTTTTTATCTGCAAAGTCATGAAATAGAAAATGTAAGAAGTAGAAACACAAGATAAATGAGTAAAAAGTAGTAAAAAAAAGAGTTTAGAGAAGTTACCAAAGGAAAAAAAAACTTAGTACAGCATTAAAGTAAAACCAATTCCTCATCCCTTATCAATAGTTCCCCGAAATGAACCTCCTTATCTTCAGCTATTTAGGTTTTTTTGTATTTTTTAAAAGAAAAGAAAGCACAGCCACATGTGTACACTGTGTAAAAAAAACTGCTTAAAATGAGATGATTTGACCCAAGGGACAAAAAAAAATCTTTGAATCGCTTCGTCAAAGATTTGTCTTGTAACTTGACCTGGTGATGTCAACAGCTTGCCTGAAAGAAAAGTCTAATTCCATTCTCTGGAACATTCAAGACAGATGGATGGTCAGTAGTTACAAAGTTTACTTTCTACTCGAGTTGATCTATGTAGAGCCGTGTAGATCATCTGACTTCAACTTAATGTTCTGCTTTGGATCCTGACATACAACTACAGCTCAAAGGACACTCCAAGCCTCTGTTTTCTAGTGAGGACAAATAGACCATTAAACTCTTATGCTCCTTTTCAAATTTCATCTTTACATTTAACACCAGTGGTTCTACAAATTCGCATTCACAGCCCCCAAAATATGGCCAGTCTGCTAAACATGAAATAGAAGAAAGTATTAACTGGAAGGGATGAAGAAAATCTATTGTTTTTGAGTCAAGGATTGTGTTTTTCAGGCTATGCTTTCACTTAAAGCTGAAGTACCAAAACTACAACAAATAAGTATGGAGGTAGCCAGTTCCTACTTATAGTTTCTATCACTAGTTGTCATATCCATGCGTTTTTGAGCTCTGACACATCATATTTTTCAGTGACGAAGCGAGTAGCAGCCCTCACGCAATCAATCAGCTCTCATTATGTAAGGTTAAAACAAAATGTATTCATTAAAAAAAAAGAAAAATTAAGTATTCCAGCTTTAAACACAAATTCTGTGTCCAATAATCATCAGGATACAGTGAGAAGTGTTCGGAATTTCATCTTGTAATCACATCACGTCCCTTTATACATTAGTGTCTCGCGTCCCCCACTTTGAGAACCACTGATTTGCACTTCTTGGAGGCTGCCATCTTGGTGTTTTGTGACGCAGCTTGCCCGCTCGGAGCAGCATGTGTGGACGTGCTTTCGTCACTATTCCCCTGGCGCCTAATGGCTCAGGTGTGAGGGCAGCATTAACGAACAACAAATTAGAACGAGGGGGAGGTGAAAACAACAGCAGCAATATCAGTGTTTTCCTCTACTGCGACTGCTCTTTCTGGACACGAAATGGGTCAGGTGAGAGAGAGAGGAGGCGGAGGATATGGAGAGGGGACTCGGAAAATACAAGATATGAAAATATTAAACACAGCTTGTCGAATATTTCATTTTCGGGAGAGCGAGAAACAGGTTGACCATTTGGACTTTTGGATTCAATGCAGTGGGAATGTTTTTAATTTAAAGTGTAAGACTATTTCGTCAATACGGCTATGAGTATAATTAATCGAATAACGATGAAGGCTGTCGCATGGCGCCGTAAAGATGGCGCCGTGGCAAGAGCTCTGGTGTGTTTCGTCTGGTGCACACCGGGGTAGTCTTGCACAGTTTTTCCTATGAGGTTTTACTGCAAATGGCAAATAAATGAATCTGAATCTGAAAAAATCCATCGAGTTATTGGGCCTTGTCAACTTAGAATCTTAAATGTCTGAGGATATTATTCAAAATTTACATTCTGATCATTGAAGGACCAGAGACGCCAAACTGCATCAGTCGCCTTCGTATATAGTACATTTTTCTTTGAGTGCATTGTATAGAAGAATTCCTTGAGCCTTTACCACATAAAAAACATATTTCAAACAGTTTTTGTTGGACTAATCGGCTGATCAAAAAAGTACAGGCCAACTTGGAGACATGGAGTGTTGGTATCATTTTTCCAGGATGCTCTTTCGTGATACTATTTCGTGAGACCTCATTCCCAAAGAGCGTTTACTCCAGTTAGAGAAGCCATTTGTTTAACCCATGCATAATTTCTCCATTCTGAGTTAAAACTTTGCTTGCTGTAGATACCCTTTCTCTTATAAGTACTATAAAAGTTCTCAGATTACCGTTTGGTTTAAATGTTGCATATCCAAGTATTAATTCATCGTTCCTTGTTCGTAACCTTTACTAAAACCCTGCCTGGGACTTTTGCCCTGTTCTTTGCGATTGCTCATTTAGTAGCAATATATTCTTGGCAGATGTAATAATCAGGGATTCCTAAACAAACAAACAACTGCGAGAGGCTGAAACTGACTCAATTATCGCGCGCTCCCCTCCTTCAAATTCATAAAGAAATCGCATCAGCCGCCCCTTTCCACCCTTGAAGTTATTTAGTTCGTTAAACAAGGCCTCGTTAGCCCGCCGCTGTTTCGCCGAGATGATTAGATTTTACAGCCCTAATTAGCCGGGCTAGCTCTAACTCTTCTGGAAGAGTAATGGGTCTGATTGCCTAATTAGCCCTCTCTCGTTAAGAAGGGGAAGAAACAGGCCACTGCAGCAAAACCGCAGGAATGAGGAAAAATAAAGTCAAGCTAATGAGAAACGTATTTGATTGTTAGGAGAACAAATCTGGTACAGCGCAGATCAGCGGCGCTCAGGGTACCGTTCACGCTCCCCTCCGCTTTATTTTTTTCTCATCATGTGTTGGAAAACGAGAGGAATTTGTTTGGGTATATAGTGTCTACAAGGAGCAATACTACGCACGCATTTTTATGAAGATGATTGTTTGTCGTTGGCCTAAACTGGGAAAACAGAAGCAGCGCAGAGCTTTGGTGGGAACAGACTGCACAAGCTGTTTTGGAGCATCTTGTGAATCTTCAATGTGGTGTAGATGGATGTAGTTATCAAAATATTCTGTTCCGAAGTGTTTTCAATTTGAATGGGATATGTGTATGCCTTAAAGCTGGGGTACATAACTTTCAAAGCGAAACATTCGACTGGGTAATGCGATGCAATAAATGCGCTCTGAAGAAGTCTGGTTCTATCTCTGGCTTTTACATGCATGTATTATTGGCCTCTGTCACATCTTTAGATCAGATTTTTAACTGAAATATGAAAAAGAGAGGACTGCCTTCCTAAGCCAATCAGCTCCCAGCCAAAAGTGTCAACATGTGATTCACAGGGCTCTTTCTTCCAAGTAAGAAAAAGAAAAAAACCCGAATGAGATGCATGTTGTGGACTG